TGTGGATGTCTTATAAGGATACCCAAACATAGATGAGCTACAGAAAAGAAATGATTCTCACAGATGAACTGCGGCCTGGAATGATTTGTCTTACTTAGGCCTCTAAGGGATTAGAACTCATTCCCTGCTGATACTAATTTGGCGCCATTGCTAACTGAGCAACATCTTGAGAGAGAGGCAATTTTCGTTACTTGCGTATCGTGCTGATTAAAATTATTGAAAGATTATGACAGAATGAAAACTACGAACAAATTGTGAAGTAGGCACAAATTTGAAGGAAAAGAGTACAATTTAATTAATATCTGTTTTCTTTTTCAGGGAACTTTTATATCATTTATTCGACGCCAATGATGTCATGTGGGTACCAAAAACTAAGCGTGTTGAAGCTCGTGGACAGGTTGCTAATAGCTTTGATGATCTGAAGTTAAAGGCATTTCCAACTTTACGGGACCGTGAGCCACTCAACAATAAAACACTCAGGGAAACTGCACATTTCATCTTTAGTAATCAGAGGAATTTCACACAGTTTTCAACCGCGGAGACTTTCCTTTCGTACGAACTGTCCCCGGAGGGAACCAAGCTTATGGCAGAAAATTTCGGATTCAAGGGTGACTGCTACATTCAATCCATAAATCCAATGAGTTATAAAACTTATCCTGAGAAAGAATATTATGTTAGCTCCCTATCATCAGAGACGAGAAGTCCTCCTAATTCCACAGGAATGTCCGAAATTGCAGCAGAGCTCCCTGAAAAAGTGGAAAGTGGAGGCGGTAAAATTTATCGTAAAGAGACAGTTGCCTCGATCAACAAAGAAGGAGATAAATTTTTTCTTCAAACTACGAAATTAACTGTGAAGGCCAATAAAACAGTTATCACCGTTGGACCAGCTGCTCTGAAAAAGATCGAAGGTGACGTCATTCGAAATATTACAGGTCATCAAATATTTGAATCAATTGTTGGTGTGCCTGCTTTCTATGGGGCAGCGGTATATGATAAGCCATGGTGGAATGATACAACTGCCGCTCAAAAGAACAACAGCTTGCAGCCTTTGGAGAAGTTCATATCCAGCAGTGACTGCCTGGGAATAACCATGCCTTACAAGTTAGTACTCATAAATCGTCACAAACTTCCATAAAATTTCAAAATAATGGGTCGGTCAATTCGAAGCTTCAATATTTCCACGGTGAATCCTCCCCTGCCCCCTCCCTCCCGGGTACCAAGTATTTGTTGAACTATTTAAGAATGTTTGATTCAAATTTTCGCCCCCTTAGGCTAAAATTGCGTTCAAATGCCCCACACAATGCCTCACACAATTTTTCATTGAACGATTCTTTGTGTGATCAACGAATGTTGCAGAATTTAGCAGTCATGTACGTAGTTTTTTGTGCCGCTGTTGGATATTTCTCTTTTAAGCATCATTCTGTGATGCGAGAGTATTCCTGTCAGCCATTCGCTCACGAAAGCGAACTCTTTACCTCTAAACTCCCCCATATTTAAAATCAAAACAAGTGTTACACGGATTCAAACTACACACCCTACTCAGGCAAGGTTCGAATTCCCCCCCTCTGGGTTGTGAACGACAGTCAAATTTCCCTCGGTTGCCCCGGAAGATGTTGAAACATCGGTGCATAATTTCCCTCTGCGTTAAATAGCTCACTTCTACAATGTTCTCCAGTATATCTTATGGACAAACAATTTTAATCCCACTTGTGAAGTAGCATCAATTTTTTCCCATTTGTATAGAAAATTAGGAAATGAAGCAAAGTCAGCCACGTGATGTTTTTTGACAAATCGCGCTTGTGCCAAAATAATCAAGGAACTACATTGTATTATTGTAACGTATGACTCAAAAGCCTGCTCCTGTTCCTTATTTTTATGATAGAGATGATGGAACCAGCAGAAGAGTTGTGTTACACTTAATAGCCAATAACGGAGGATGCAGCGATAAGTGGGGGAAACTTTTGGAGATTTCTAAATCCAATGATGTTATCGACAAAGAACTGAAACGCGCTCTGAAGTACAAGTTTCAATGTGATATTCCCGATCCTTTGGAGACTATTTACAAATACTGGAAGGAAGGGTTTTGGTAAGTGCAACGTTGAAAAAATAGAAAAAAAAAGTATAGCAATCGTTTCTTATTGCTTTTTTATGAAAAACCTACTTCAATTTTTTCCGCTCGATTCAAAATTTCTGTTCCCTTTTTTTCGTCAATAGAAATGATATGCATCATTTCGGCTCAAAATCCATGCTCCAAGTTTACGGATTTGTACACTACATATTTATCACAAAGATTTCTGAGATCATATCTTCTTCTTCCGTATAGCCTTCCTTATTGATATCTGCTGAACGCAATGAGTGTGGATGTGGACGAACGAGCGGCCCTCGATTTTCGCCCGGAGTCGTTCCGTTCAGCGGATATTTACTAGGGAGCTGTTGAGAAGGAGAGAGAGATCCGTTTTCAATGAGCGAGTGCCAACTTTGCTCAATTTGGACAGGTTCAATTCTACGCCTTTTTTCTGTTTGTTTGTTTGTTTTTTTGTTGATGAACAGCTGTGATCGTTAGATTTTCATTATTCAATGTCTTAGGTTTTTTCAGAAGCCTGGGGCCAACTTTAGCTCCACGTACGAGCATCCGGCAATGGGCGAAACGGCTGCTAACAGGACAAGATGTCTTCTTAGTGAACAGAGCGTATTACAATTTCGGTGGATATCTGGAATACGCCATACGATCTGCTTTTGAGGCCGTAAAAGAGGGTTGGAATTCTGAGCTTCCGTTCTATGTATAAAGTTGCCGAATACTTGGATTTTATGGTCTATGGTGTCTGGCATGAAACATTACAGTTTTGTAAAATATGCTAAGATTATGACTTAAGAGCTGTAAATGAGTGAAAATTACGCTATTTTTCCATCAGAATCTTGTGAATTAAGACATAAAGACACCAGTAAGAAAATAGAATGAGAAAAGTGATCTGAGTAGCACGATTAGAAGTATTTGTTTAGGTGACATTAGGTCATAGAGTTTGTTAAAAAATATCTATTTTTATTTTCTGGCACATGCTAAACTTGTAATTCAAATAATATACAGATAGCTTCAACTCAGCATTGTAAATAGTGATAAAATTTTCATTCTCATATATCTCGTTTGAATTAGACTTCTTTGTTGACGTCAATGATAATCATTGGATTTTTTCTCGAATATTTTCATTAAGGTATTTTATGTGGCTTTGTCGAGTGTCAGCGGGCATAGAGAACAATCAGTGTGATCTCCATGCATTTATAAAGAGGTGTAAAACTAATTCGTTTATTAGGGAAAGAAGAACATCGTTTTATAGTGTAACTGATAGATTTAAATAGTTAATAAAGTATTCAAATTCGTTACCTGTCCCACAAGGGTCTTGAAAGTGTGTATGTTTGTATTTTAAAAAGCTCTTGTCTCGAAGGCGGCTTAAGTAGCGTTCATGTTCGGTTTCGCTCGCGGAAGAGTGACCATGTTGAGAGAAAGTTCTCTTTTATTCAATCGTTACTGAGCTAGGTTTTTTTGCTTACTTATCTATGTTTCTCCTTGTCGAGTGTTCGTTTTGTTTTGGTTTGTTTTTTACTCTGTGACCCATCAAGTTCTAATGACGTACCGGCTGCTTCGAACCTTTTAAAGTTATTACTCTCAGGTTTACAAAACTTTCTCGAATTCTCCTAACTTCCTTGGTGTTCAAATGCAGCAATGTAACCACAGACTAAGTCCACTATTGCCCAGTTATACGTTTTAGTGTGAAGTATCGCTAATTATTCATATTTAAAGAAGGTATCCGATTAGATCGCACCGTGGTTAGACCGCTCCCAGTTAGATCACTCCAACCAAATGTTAGATCGCTCCACTCAAAAGTTAGATCGCTCCATCAAATAAGTTACTTCGCTACCAACAAAAGTTACTTCGCTCCATGTTGTAAAATGAAGTATTACTTACCAATGATCTTTAAAGTTTATAGGTGATGATGCGTCTTGCAACGATTCGAGTATGTCGTATTCAGATTAGCCCCCGAGCTACCGTGAGACTCACGAAAATAAATTCAGCCTTGTGCTCTCACGCTCAAACTTTTAATTCTCATGATCACACATTTAAGGTTTCTGATTTAAACTATTGATTGTGAGACAGCAAACTGCTCCAGCCGCCTTCTGCTCCGTAATACCGGCGGTGATTCCTGCGAACCGTTGTCGCCATGCTTAGTTTAGGGAGGGGGAAGGGGTATAACAAGATAATTTGGTTTTATCAGCTGAGTTGAGAGTGTAAATAGTTTCTAAAGCTGACGTTTAGAGCGTTAGCCCTTCATTATAAGGAAATGTCATCTCAAGAAAACTTTTAAAGGTATCCTATTTTCATTATCAACTCATTTGATAAAACAAATCAACATTTTACTGTTTATTTTCAGAATAGACTTCCTTCAAAATGGCATCTTAAGGTAACAAGGCATAAGTCACAAACTTGTACCCATGGTCTGACTGGTTCTTAACGCATGTGCATAGCATAAAATTTATGTCACTGGCTTTAAATCATATTGAAAAACTATTAATGGAATCTCGAGTCCAGGGCCATTTTGGCTCCTTGTCAGCGAGCGGTATGGTCGCCCAATAATGACCTCTGGGATAATCGAATTTCTATCCTAGAAATCGTAGGATTCCAGTTTTAACTGCACAATTATTGCTTCCGGTTGACTTCTGCGCGTGCTCAAAATAGAGCACACGGTCCGTTACGCCAGCGGAAGAAGAAAAGAACGTAAATTACCCTTGTGTACGACTCATTATAACTAATCGAAATGTAATTTTTAAACTAGAAGAAAATACCTGGATTTTTTCCGGTGCATCTTCAAGTGCTCTTGGAAGTTTGGAAGTGAAAAAAAAGGAATAAGTGATGGCCTTTTACGAAGCTTTTACACTGTTTTCAGGTTCCCGCGCGAGGTGAGTCGATTGCAAGCTAGTCAGTTAGTGATGATGGACTTTGAGCAAGCATGGTTGCAGCAGTTTCATCTACTTTGAGATCATTGGACTCAGACGAAATGAAAAAGGGACAACGGCAAACCCCAGAAGCGATTGGTTTAGATTGCAGAGAAGTCCTCCTGCCTCTACTCCTGATCCAAAAGCTGGTGATTGTACAGGTGACTGCACTTGGACCGGGATGACTACAAAACAAAGAAAAACAGCAATGTTTTGAAACTCTTATAACAACACATTTATTTGCCCGTAACAATGTTTTGAAACTCTTATAACAACACATTTATTTGCCCGTAACTTTTCTAACTTTTCCTTGATCTACTTAACAATGAAAACATGTTAAACAAGTTTCTTTTGACACTGCTTTGATATTTTCCTGTCATTTTAATGTACTTTCTTATTATTGCAGGTGAGAATAAAATTGTTTTACAACTATTGTACTATTTACTTGTTCCAAATAACTTTAGGAAGCGAAAATAAAAGTTGTTACTTGATGTGTTATATTTTGCAAGTTTTTGAGACTATTACTTGACCTTGAGTTTACTGAAAACGCGTGCATTTGAATCAAATGTCCACTTCCCTCTTAAAGATCAAGAGAAAAAAAAGGAAGCAATAATATAATTTGAACCTTGGAAACATCACACGCTTTGAGTTTGCTCTAGCTTCTTTCTTTTGCATGCTTCAGTTTGATAAACCAAGCTAGGGGTTGATTGTTTTTTTTTTACGAAGAAAAAAAAACATAATTATGGAAGGTTCACACCTTGCAATTTATAAGCTTTTGATGTGTCAAGGTTAATTATATCATTGCTTCGCTAATAAGAAAGATAAACCAAAATTTTTTCTTTCAGTCTGTGACAAAGTTTAGCTCAATTCTTATTTTTTAGATATTGCTTATAGTTACTTCAATGATAGGCGCTACTCACCTCACGATGGGAGTGTTCAATACTAAGAATGATAGTAATGAGTTTTTGGACAAGGTTCAGCTCCCAGCATTGGGTATTCATTGCATAACCATATATCACACAAAATGGAAATACTTGACTTCCATCTTCTTGTACAACAGTACACTCACAGTGGCCATGAAATCAAGCAAGTCAGGAGCTCAACCTAACATTTCTTTAATAAGCTGCTCCAACTGAAATCTTCAAGGGAAGACTTGGTACTATTCCTAATTACATGTAAGACATAAAAGCCACCAGTTCCAAGTTTCTGTACACATAGACTTCTGCACTGTTCATCAATCTCGTCGAAACAGATATTTGGCACATGCTTTGACAATACAAGTAGGTGGCAACATAATAAGTTTTGCTTTTGCAGCTGGAAGGCTTGCCTGCAATGCAGCTCATAGTGTATATACTTCATCCTTTCTTAATTCAGTATTTGCATTTTCTTTCAACTAACTATAAACAGAATTGAACCCCGCCACACCTCACTCGCATGACACCATCAACAAACGAGACAGTGAATCTAAAAAGTGGGCTGAGAAGGGCTTTGGATAGCGACAGACCTTCAGATTTCTGTTTTTTTAAGAGCAGAACCCTTCCCTTTGCGATTTCCTTACATATTTAGGCTTCTCAATTTCTACTTTGATACTGGATACTATGCTATTCTGATGTCGAACTCTTTTACACTAATACATTTCCGTACGCTCGCACGGCCTCTACAATTCCTTCTTTTCCGCTTTTCACTCAAAACAAATTAAAATAATGATTTATTTCTACTTCTACGTCTTTGACAACAACGACAGCAATCCATCGTTCCATGAAGAACAGCTTCCCGCCATGGAAAATGACCTTTCATTCCTTATCACAAGTTTCTAGGCTTGGTCACACGAGGAACAGCATGGTTCAAAATACCCCGTAGTGAAAATTTTAAGTTCAAACAAAACAAATTATTGTCCCTGCACCCCTGCGTTTTTAGGGATGATTTTGAGGAAATTCAGAAAAATTGAACGATGCAATAACCAGCCGAACAGTTATGCTAAACGTTGAAAAAATATTAACGGTTTAACAATTCATCGGCGGCGTTACGACAACGACGTATTACATAATTTCGTTCGTCTATTGACATATAAGCATTTCATCACGTGGAAGCCACTAAGTTTGTCAGATGCGATTTATCATTACTAACACAATGAAAACAACGTAAATATCATAATTCCCCGCGATATGCGATTAGTGAAACTAGAAGCAGGGAATTACAAAGGAGTACTGAACTCTTAACACTACGTTTGGTTTCTCGGTTTCATTTCTAGATGGCATAATTTAATGCTAGTATATTAGGGATTGTTAAAATGAAGTGTATTGCATAGTGCGCTGAGAATTTCACCTCTATAGTGAGATGTTAGAATCGATAGTAAAAAACCGGACAGGAATGGTGTTAATCTTGACAAAACTACCGCCCCTCCCCCGTAAAAATCAACGCCAGAAAATGGTTGGGATTGATGCATTTTGGTACGGCTTACCAAAACCCAGGTTTCTGATCCTTTTTTAGAACCTGAAACCTGAAGACGGGAGTAATATAATGGGGGGGGGGGGGGGTTGGGAAGAGTTGGGAGGCAGGGGAGGGGGGAAGAAGGGAAGAGAGATGGGAGAACGTGTAACGGGAAGTGGGTTGCAGTGACTCTCTGTCTCCCTCCCTCCCCACCCCCCACTGGTTACCGAACCCAGTTAAATTAAGGAAATTAGCACAAAATTCCTCTACAGCATCGCAATTTTGCAGTCGCAAAAATTTGTAGATCCGGAAACTTCCATCGAAAATCCCTAATCCAACATATCCATTTGCGACCCAAGATGATGCCTATTTGGAGGACTAGGATGTACAACTGCCATTTAATGTCTATATCTGAAAAATTATCATCAGAAAGCTTAAGCGACCTTTATACTGGAATCTTCCAACCAGGCCCGTTTGAGAGAACAACAAATACTTGAAAAATAGTCATTAGAAGGAGTAGTTTGAGAAACGAGAAGCGAGAAAATTATCAATATCATAATTATCTTCGTAGAAAAGGTTGTGGTTATTCATCGTGCTGAATAACAATAAAAACTAAGTTTTTCGTTTGTCTCACGATTTAGTCACGTGCATCACACGTGACTACATCGTGAGACAAACGAAAAACTTAGCTTTTAATATCATAATTATCATTATTATTTTTTCAATGCACTGGTAGATTTAATAAATACCATAGCTACGAAATATATCTGATTGATAAGAGGGACGGAAAATAAAGGAAAATTATTTAAAACGAGATTCTTCCCACCAGGAAACCTAGGCAGCCAGAATTAGTGAGGATATCAAAGATGTGAAATTAAGGAGCGAACACCCTAAGTTCCGAGAGGAGAGGGCGAACACTAAGGATAAACCTTTGGCTCCTTATCATAGCATGAGGTCTGTCTTTTCCATATCATTCGCACGTGACAAACGCAATCAAAAGAGTCATCTCAGTAGTCAAAACTTCAAAGTCTGAAGAACGTACTGTTAAGATTATTGCTCAAACTGCTCGAAATGTCTGCTGAACATCTACGGCCACTCGAACCTTCATTTACTCTTACAATCGACGAGGATGGAGATCATGTTGCGAAAGACCGATTCTCTTCGGCAAGCTGCGATTGTTGTCACAAAAGATATTTTATATGCAATTTTCGAGCTCGAGTGTGGCAACTTTGGTTATTGCTGCTAGCAATACTCGTCATTATTGGCATAATAATAGGTGTAGCTGCAATCTTTGGTTCCGGAAAAGCTACTCTTCAAGAACATTTCAGAGGTATTTAAAATTAAACATCTCATTTAAAGATGAGTGATTTTTTTAGAGTTACGATGTCTGTCCGCACAATCAAGTATTGAAGAAATAAGAAGTTAACGTTAGTTTAAAATTTCGCTGTGCCATTTTGAGGTTTTAATTCAAGATCCACCTTTTCTGAGACTCAGGTAATTAAAATCATATTCTTTAAACGTAAACCTTTTTTCCGACTCGGACCGTTCGAGAAAACAGACGTACTCTCTTTCAGTTCCTCTGAGTTCACTAGGAACACAATCAATCAATTCAAACTGCCAGGTCTTTCAGACGCATCACTATCGTCATCGGACGCCTTGTTCTCTTCGGGAACACGTTCTGGATCAGAATGATATGGTCCTACAGCAGCCACGTATTTCACGGCAAGGTAGAGCTCAATGACGTCACGCAAGATGGCGGCGTTGTTGCTCGAGTTTTAGCTCATTCATTCTGAAAGTAATGATTGAGGTACTGAGGTGAAGCAGATGTTGACGGAAGTTGTCGACCGTGAACGGAAGTTGCATTGGAGACCGTGAACGGAAGTAATCTCGCATGCTACCCCTCCCCACTTAGTGAAAGTCAAAATTAATTTCGATGAAGGTCAGAAACTCACGTGAAAAGAAATAAAATGTTTGTATGTTTTAATAAAATAATAACCCAAATCACATTTCCGAACTTCTAAAAATGCAACTTGAATCGAGAAGCCGAAATTTTTACACCCAGGGGACCCGTAGCGGGTTCATTTCAACACACGCTGTCACCACGCAGAAGAACATCAGAGGCAGCCTTATTGGTAAGCCACGCATTTGCGTTCGTCTTCAGTTGGTATTAAGTAATCATTGCTCTATCATTGTGCTTGTCCACGGGAGCTCTTCAACATACAGTCTTCACATTAATCATAGCGGCCAAGATAGTCTCACTTAAATTTTTTTTTGAGCTCCAATATTTCGGTCCGGACTTAAGGCTCGCTCGAACAAAAACAGCAATACCAATCCCGTCAGTACAAAATGCAGACTGCAGACTGAAGACTGCAGAACGGGTACAAAATGCAGACTGCAGACTGGGTACAAAATGCAGTAGACTTAGAAATTATACCATTTTTTCGTTTGATACGTGGTAATATGTCATCTTACAACTTACCAAGCGTCACGCAATCGCTTCTCCGCGATCATATTTGCACTATTGTGGAATATTCCTTGCCCGCTTCTTGATCACAATCGTTCCTAATATAATTTCAAGCCTTCATATAGTCCTCTCACTTTGTGTGCGAGATGTCTGTACAGAATTCACCAAGTTAATAAAAGCAGATGTAGATGTAAATGAGGTGTCACTTGAATATTTATCACGCGCAAGATTAGGGAAATAATTGACAGCTTTGCACGTGGTCTATACGTTTCATCTTTTTAACCGATATGTGTAATTTTGTTGACAAAAATGCGGACTGAGATCAAAACTGTTCCTTCGGATTGATATATTTTCAACGTTCAGGGGTTTACACAAACTGATTTTGACTTATGTGTCGTATATTGTTATTGGCTTGCATGAGGAACCAGCGAATTTTTGTAGGGAAAAAGCGAAGCGTTGGTTTCGTGACTGGCCATTTGTTTACTTTTCAGGTGGTTGTATCTCTTATCTGTTCGGTGACTACGCAAATATTAATATGTGAAAATCAGACTATATGAAGGCTTGAAATTCTCAAGAAACAGGAAAGGAATATTTCACAATAGTGCACATGATCGTGAAAGATTAGGGTTGTTAATATTTTGCTGCTAGAGCAACCTTTGATGCCTGATTATGCCCACCCAGCCCACCCTCCGCCCCACAAACACCCACACACATCAACAAAAAGGACACTGTCTGCCCAGTAACCTCTGCCCCTCCCACCTCCAGCCCACACAACTTTTTTTCCAATTCCCATCATGACGAATGCACAAGTTTTGTTATCACACAACTGCCCAAAAATTAAAAAAAATTTATTCCTTGAAAGTTCACATTAACCGAATTCAATATCAACAAGTCCAAGAAATCAATACAACTTAAGCCATAACATGAATGAGCTGGCTCCAAGATCCCCTTGATTTAGCAATAACGACTGCTAAGACAGTACCAACAGAACTTTGGCAACAGCTAAAGAAACTGAACCGCCATCTAGCCAAAGACTAACAGCTATTCAGGCGACAACCGCGAAAGTTTAAACTTTTGCTACGATAACTAATATAAAGCATCAACCACACCTGGTCCAAAAAAATCCGTAATAAATTACAAATATCACTGCAACTCCCATTTCGGAAGCAACAGACCAACCCCCGCCCCCAGTATGGATGAAATATGGGCGGGAGGCGGGATGATGCTGCTGATGATGTTTCTGTTTTTTCATTATTTCATCAGGTGGTGAAGATGCTAGCACAGCACAACCAACAACCACAAAGAAAGCAACGACTGGAGCCCCATCAGCAACCACTGCTCCGACAACCACAGCGCAACCAAGAACCCCAGAAAAACTAACAACTTCTGCTCCACCAACAACAACTGCTCCAGCAACCACAGCACAAACAATAACCACAGAAGAAGCGACAACCACTGCTCAAGCAACCACAGCGCAGCCAATAACCACAGAAAAATCAACAACCACTACTCCAACAACCGCAGCAAAATCAACAAAACCAACAAGTACTGCACCAACAACCACAGCACAACCAACAATCACAGAAAATCCATCGACTACTGCTCCACCAACAACTACTGCACCAACAACCACTACACAACCAAAAACCACAGGAAATCCGACAACTACTGTTCCACCAACAACCACTGCACCAACAACCACAGCACAACCAACAACCACAGCACAACCAACAACCACAGCACAACCAACAACCACAGCACAACCAACAACCACAGCACAACCAACAACCACAGCACAACCAACAACCACAGCACAACCAACAACCACAGCACAACCAACAACCACAAAAAATCCAACAACTACTGTTCCATCAACAACCATTGCTCCAACAACCTAAACAACCTCTTGAGAAGGAGAGAGAAATGAGTTGCCAAAGAAAGAACGCCAATTTTGCTCACTTTTGACAGGGTCATTTCTGAGCTTATTATTTTTTTCCTTTTTTTTTGTTTTAAGATTCTTTCATTGTCATTATTCAATGACGTAAGTTTTTTTTAGAAGCCCGGGGCCAACTTTAACTGAACGACTATTCGGCAATGGGCGATACGATCTCTGACCGGACAGAATGTGTTCTTGGTGAACACAGCGTATTTCGATCTCGGTGGATATTTGGAATACACCATACAGGTGTTTTGAGGTCGTAAAAGAAAGTTGGAATGCTACGCTTGTAAGTGATATATACGATCCGTAAAGGCGCTGAATACTTGGATTTTCTGGTTGATAATGGTGACATGAAACGAAAATAATGTGTTTGAAAAATATTTGATATAGATAGGAAGGTGTCGGTAGTTTGGCGTTTAGAGGCGCTTTAAATTAGTGAAAAATTACGCTAGTTTTTATAAAAAACCGCATGAATTTAACTCGTGTCTTGAAAGACACCATGACACCAAATAAAAAAATTAAAATGAGTAAAGTGAACTAGGTACCATTTGAGGAAGAATTTGGTTAAAAAGAGACTGGGTCAAAATGTTTGCCGAAAGATATCGAATTCTTTCCTGGAAAATGCCTTTTAATTCAAAAAATATACAGATAGATTCGAATCAGCTTTGTAAATATTGATAAACTTTTAATTCTGATATATCTCAACTGTATTAGACTTCTTCATTTACGTCAATAGGATCATTTAATTTTTTCCTCTATTATTTTTACTGGTAATATGTGGCTTTGTCCATTGTCATTATGCATAGCACAATCAGTGTGATCTCTATGCATTTATATAGAGATGTAAAACTTATTCGTTTGTTAGGGAAAGAAGAAAAACGTCATGGAGTGTTAATGACAGATTTAAATAATTAATAAAGTATTCTCTTTCATTACCTGTCCCGCAAGGGTCTTGTTAGTTTGTGTATTTGCATTTTAAAAATCTCTTGTTTTGAAAACGCCTTAAGTAGTGTTCATGCTCGGTTTCGTTTGCGGAAGGGTCGCACATGAGCCAATCAAACGAGAGCGCTTCGCAGGACCTATCACAAATCGCCTCTTCAGTTTTTCGCTTTTCTTTCCTAAAAGAACGTTTCGGTGGATAGTATCGCTGAGTTATTTTACTCGTTCGGTAGAATTCCTTAAAAATACAGAGCAATACTACACAACAAAACGTTTCATGAGATATATCTATTGCTTGATCTCTAACTAAAAAGATTAAATGATCTTGAAGATCATATGAAATCCAGGCACAACCACAGACATCATACCTTCATAAACACGGGAGTTCGTTGGGCCGAAACAAAAACTTTCACTCCTAAGCTGGAGCGAACACGCTCTACTGATACTTGATTGATACTGGTTCAAAATGTAACCTGTTCATTAAATGACAGATATCTTCATGTGAAGACAATTTTATTGCTAAAATAAAAGGTACAAAATAGCCTGACATGCCCAGTGATCTGTATGAATTTCATTAAAGTTTCAAAGTTTTCCCTCGTAGATGTAAGACAGAAATTAAAAAGTTTAACACCATCAGGTAAATACCAACTATTACAAATCCCTTCAGTGGAGTACAGAATATTGTCTTTATGGAAAAGTTCACCATTCCCGTTAATACATTTGAAAGCAAAAAGAACAAAAGCTGATTTCGGTTAACAGCTGATATGAAACATGTGCATGGCATCTTCTGCTTGGTCCGTGACGTTTTGCCATTCTCATCCGGGACTTTTCCAGGATAACAAACATGACAGCCTCCAGTTATTGCGCCTTCAAGCAAGCCCAGGTGATTTGCAGTGGCTATCAGTATATCACAAAGCAAGAACTCTGAGATAAGTTGAACATTGTATCCCACCTAAAGAGGAACAAAACATACATAAGCAACAACATAATTGGAAGAATGACTTTTTGGAGGTTACGGTTACCGTCGGCTGTTTGAATAAAGTTTCTTCAAAATGGCAGCTTAAGGTAACAGGGCCAGTGACAAACATGTACGTAAAATCCATGGTCTGGCTGGGACTTAACCCTTTAACTCCTAGATCTGATTGTAAATTCTCCCCTCTAGCTGCTACACATTTCCTCATAAATTAGTCACAAGAATTTGGTTTTAAATCAGGATAACAACTTCTACCTGATAAGTTTGAGTATTCTCATTACCCGTTTACAGGATAGTATATGGATATTTTAGGGAGAAGTTACAGGTTAATCACATCTGGGAGTCGAAGGGTTGGTGCATATGCATAGCATAAATTTTACTTCACTAGCTCTAGTAAAGCAAAACAAAACCAATGCTGAAAAAACAGCTGACAAGCATCCTTGATTTGGCTACCTTATTAACAGGGGTATCAATACCTTTTTTCAGAAGCAACTCTAGATGGTGTAATAGGTAACTTTGCCCAAAGGAGGGGCCGTAAGGCAAACCACTAACACAAGAACCTGCTCGCAGGCTTAACAGACCGTGGTAAGAGGTCAACAGTGTAAAATCCCTGTTATCAACCACCACTTAGCTGTGTTTTGCTACAGTAGAGTAAATTAATTTGACAGTTGGAGATATGACAGTGATCTACATGATTGAGGTAGAACATCTATGATACTCCTAATCCTACAAACAAATGCAACAGTAAATGGATATGAATGTTTCCAGACTGCCATTTGTTTGCATCAACATGAAATTTCCAATGCTTGCTATTTCTTCCATTCATGTTCTTGACATGAAAATTCAATTTTGTTATAACTAGTTTTCAGATTTGGTAACCTTATTAGAGCACCACAGTACCTACCACCTGACACAAGAAACAGCATTGTTTAAAATAAGTTCATACAAATTAAGTTACTGGAGATATGTGTGTTATTTTATTGGTGTGGATTTCATGTGTGCTTTTATTATTATTTATCAGAGTTATAGTTTTTGCTGTCATTTTGTTATGAAGTCTACTTTGTCCTGCAAACATACCTGCCACAGGACAAAAGATAAGTTTGCCATTCTTCTTGAAATAGGGCTGACAAACTGCTGTGATATATGAACCAATGCATAAAATGTAACATCAATGGTGACTAGGATTAAAAACGCTTTGATCCACTGTCCTACAGTGTTCCTAAAAAGCAACAGAAGAGGATCATAAAAAGTCTTACACAGATACATTCAATGATTACCTGAGGTACTTAACAAACAGTTTGGATGTAACAATATATTAGTTAATTGGCTATATTATCTTATGCTGGTTTTCTTTGTTTTGACTAGACATCCCATTGCCGTCTTTCAACCTGTTAACTCCCACATCAAATTTGCAATTGTCCTTAATGTCAACCATACAATTCTTACAACATTAGTTCTGAGAATTTAGTATTGGATCAATTAATTATCCCCAAATTGATATTTTTCTTTGTTCTTGTCACTTACCAGATTAATATTGTATTGATATTGTAAGGAGAAATTCTGTTTGGTCACTCATGGGACTTAAAGGGTTAAGACACGATTGCTTTAAAAAAATGTTAGAGGGGGTTACAAACTAAAGTAGGTAGAATTTTTGCTGGAACAAGAGACAGGACTTCAGTAAACGGAAAAATACAATTCAGTGTTCCCCTCAGATGTTGAACCTAAACTTATGAGTATTATGAGTATAAGCAGACCTTTTTTAGTCAATAGAGTCAGACATGCAAGTCAGTCAAAACAGACCCAAAAAATACGCCAGAGCCACATGAACTCTGCAGAGAGGGAGCAATCACCAAAATATCTTTTCACTTATTTCTGATGACTCATGGAAATGATTTTGCTTAGAAAAAATGAATGCTCAAAGTTTACACTTTCAGGTGACTAGATGTCTGTGAGAAACAACCTACATACACTTTCAGGAATTAAATGATGATCTGAAGCTTTTGCACAATTATAAACTTGCTTTGCACACTTTACCAGTGCCTTACATGAGAAGCCAAGCACAGAGGAGAAGCATGAACCATCTTACATTATGAAATCAAAGCTTAACCCAACATAACTCTTACCGTTTACGAAAGAGAAATTTTCCAAACTGAACAGCAATAAGGTAGAGAGCTAAATAACCAACACACGAACATAGGCCTTCTCTATTTGCATCCAGTAATCCTTGACGTGATCCATCTCCTTGTGTTCCATTTAATATAAACTCTCTCAAACCACCCATGCTAAGGAGGTATTGATACAAGACAGCTAAAATAATTCCTGTTACACCATACCAGCTGTGACCAGGGATGAATCTAACAAGCACTGTTGACATTACCTACAAGGTGAGAAAATGAAGATTTAAATGAAGATGAATAAATAAAGGAGGGAGTGTGAGAATGCATGAATGAAGGATTGCAATTTGACTGAGACCTGGACAGATGGAAGGAGTGATTGGATGAATGGAAGGAAGGATACATAGATGGACTGGTCAAATGACAGACTAAAAGAGGGTAAGAGAGACATAAAGAGAGAGACAAAAAGAATGACTGAAAAAGAAAGAAACAAAGAAAGAACAAACGAATCAATGAATCAATTATCAGAATCAATTAATTAATTAATTAACCCTTTTACTCCCATGCGTGACCAAGACAGAATTTCTCCTTTCAATATCAATGCAATATCAACCAGAGAGGTGATGGGAATAAAGAAAAAATTCAATTTGGGGATAATTAGTTGATCCAATTCTAAATTCTCTGAACTAACATTATAAGAATAGTATGGTTGACAGTAAGGAGAATTACAAATTTGATCTGAGAGTTAAATGGTTAATGAAAGAATGAAAGATGAATGAAAAAAAGAAAAAAACTCTGCTAGTCAGACCTGCACTTCAGGCAGTAAAAAAGTTTTTGCTTTGAGTTCTAATGAGCTTCTTGCAATATTTTGCTTTACTGTGATATATTATTGAGATCACTTTGGTTATGGTTTTACCACGCTTAGTTGAAAAGTGTGCCATTGAAAAAACTATTTACTGAGTAATTTATAGTAAAAGAACATTTTTTTACTCACCCTTACAACAAATAAAGTGAAGAAAAAGTTCCAGTGAACCCCGTACTCACTTGCATGCTCTTGATAATCTGTTCCTTTGACAGAAATCAGACGCAAAAAACCAAGTACTAGTAATGGTAAAGAAGACCTCAAAGATCTAAATAGTACCCCGAAAAAGCTGCTCAATGTTTCAGTTGAATGAACACTTCTTGCTTCTTGTGATACTATAGCATTAGAAAATATAAATGCTCCAACTCCCATGTCCATCAGTCCACTTCCATATGTTTCTGCTTTGGCGAAGCGCCGAGGAAATATGACAAAGTCAACAGCAAGTATACAGATGGCTGTAGCAATCACTACATACGCTCTGAAGCTTCCAATAAAAGGCAGTCTTCCAGACATGTCAGCAGATAGTATTGCTTGAAATTTCTGTTTTTGAAGTTTACTGGTGTTCAGTGCTTGCAGGAACAACATTCCCATTGATAGACATAAACAGGTTGTAATTAGCATATTTATGTGATCAGCCAGAATGGTCAGTGCCAGGAATGAGGGGACCACCAGGGTACAATACTCCAACAGAAAGACTATGCTACAAAAGAAAAAAAAGTCAACAAAAATATGTTCTACTTGACAAAAAGTTCATTTCAACAGTTTCTTTTAACCCTTTCCATCCTAACATAAGCATGCATATTCTCCATACTGTTCCCAATACATTCCCTCAGGAGCTGATGAGAAGAAATTGTGTCATAATCCAGAACTTCTTTAGTTGGTAACCATTTCCTTTATTCTTGTTACCTTAATGTGTGATTTAGGGGCGATATTGTAAGGAGAAATTAGATGCTAGTCACTGTTACGGATTAAAGGGTTAAGGTACTGGGTCTAATACTCAAAAGCAACTGCAGCACCTAGGGCTTGGGATAGAACTATGCACAGAAGAAAACATCTGTTAACCATTTAATTCAAAGAAGTGATTACAGTGTAACATGTAACTTCTCCCTACAATATCCATACATTATCCAGAAAACAGGTAATGAGAATATTCAAACTTATTGGGTAGAAGTTAACTTGATCTAACACCAAATTCTCGTAATTAATTTACATAGAAATGTGTAGCAGCAAGAAGGGAGAATTGACAATCAGATCATGGGAGGAAAAGGGTTGCAAGTTACAAATTATGCTGGTTGTTGCCAAATTTATTTCAGTTTCTTTGATTTTCAACACAAACTTTGTAAAACCTTCCATATTTCCATTTACAATGCTGAGTTTTGAAAACATGCTAAGTTTTAGTGGTATCTGTTACCAACTTCCAATGCATGAAATTATGGAGCCCAAAACTTGCCAAAACTCATATTTCTTATGAGAATTACCATCAGTTTAGGATCCCATAATTTCATAAGTTTGCCAGGGACTGTCATGAAACTTCCTAAGTTTTAAAAACTCTCGTTGATCTATTGGACAACTAGGCAGATTTTTCCTTGATGGAGAGGAAATCGAAAAGCGTGGACTCATCGAAGTAGTCCATATCATACAGCCAGCTATTCTATACTCGAAGTTGAGTCTAAGCGCACGAAAATTGGGGCTAAACTTCAGAATACCCCGCAACTTTGGTCCGCCTCACTTACATGTGTCGGGAGGGATTGAGTCTAAATGACATGTAAATGAGTTGCTCGAAAATTGGCATAGTTAGCAGAAAATTTCCGCTGTTAGTTTCTTTTCTTAAAAATCCGAATTTATTAGGCATATCAGCAGAATACTTCAAATTATATCGAGTTGGAAATCTACAGCTAGCGCACCGATTAATAACACTTTTTCCTTGAAATACAGCAGTTTTTGAATGAGAACAGTCATCGTTATTTCCATAGCAAAATATCTTCAGCTCGATTTTTTTTTAATCACTACTGTAAGAGATCTCGATTTTCGAGTGTTTGCACTTTCAAAGAAAAGTGTGTTATACTCACCAACAGAAGACTGAACCAGTAAGGTTTTCTTGCTTCGCAAACAATATATTAAATAAGATTGACCTAAGAAAAATACCAATTGGCGCAGCACTAGCAACTTTGCCGATTTCAAACACCGATGTGCCATTCAAATCACTCACAAACCGTTCATGAAGCTGTTTATAAGTGACATTCGACGGAACGTCTGGATTATCCGCCATTTTTGTTCAACTAGTGACCGAGATCCAAACCGGGGGAGTCGGGGAGAGTACTGTCCTGATTCATACCCAGTCTTTTCGAGTGTATACGCTTAGAACGCCTGATGATTTTGATCATCATCGTCTTCATCGCTGAGCCAAATGTAACGCGGTAAATATTCCTTGCGTCAGCTATGAGTCATAAGGAACTGATCAAGCAGTTTTTTACTCTTCAAGAAGAAAGGGTAAAGACGTACAGAACATTTGACAGGTAAATCTTGCTTTCCATCATTCAGGGTAAAGCACCTTCCTTAATTGAAAGCACGTTGTGCCGTTCCGTGCATTTTTTTGCATTCTATCGGCTATTCCTTGTCAAATTCTCGGAAACGTTTTGTTTTTATGAGAAGTGTTGGAGCTAAGAATGGTTATAGTTTTGTTGTTGTTGTTGTTGTTGTTGTTGTTGTTGTTGTTGTTGTCGTTGTTTGTCGGTTTGCTATTGTATTTTTTGTGACCAAATTTGTTGTTCATTCTCTTTCAGCGGTTTCAAAGAATATCTTGCGAGTGCTCCTGACTATGACTTCCCATCATATCGGCAACTGGTGCATGACATAACACAGAAATTCAATAAGATATCGAGTGACGTTATTACAATTGAAACAAAGTTAAGGGAGGCTGGATATACCAGTATTGCAGAACTAATCAGAAAAATTCAACTGAAAGAAAAAGAGAAACTGGAACTGGTAAGTGAGCAAATGAAGGTTAAAAAAAAAAGATTTCCTCACCAGTTCTTTTACCAAAAATCTCCTTACAGTTGATTTGGTTTGTTCTAGTTTCTACTTTTTCCTCTAACTTTTTGGACATTAAGAGACTGACTAAGCATCTAATTTCCCATTACAGTATCACTTTTGAATCACTCATTAACCCTTTAACCCCTTAGAGTGACTAGCATCTAATTTCTCCCTACATTATCTCCACTGAATCACACATTGATGTCATGAGAATAAAGGAAATAATCACCAACTAAAGAAACTTTTGATTGTTGAACAAATTCTCTTTGTCAGCACATTAATAAATGTGCAGAGAACAGTGTGGAGAATATGAATACTGATGTTAGCCTGTAAAGGGTTAAGCTCATGAGAATAATGAAAATGATTGATCACCAGCTAAAGAAGCTCTGGATTGTTAAAGAAATTCTACTTGTTAGCACCTTTAAGGGAATGTACTGGTATAGAACAGGATAGAGAATAATGCATACTGATTTTAAAGTGCTAGAGGTTAAGACTGCTATTAAAGCCATAGAGCAAAATTTCCCAGCTGTTACATGCACAATATGAAAACCCAGGTGGTAATCATGAGATCATTGATTTACAAGCAATGTTAGGGGTTCCTCAAGTATCATAGGAGTTTTTTTTCTAAACAGCTTTATTGGGTATGATTCATATAATACTAATACACTAAATAAATACAATATACAATATAAATGGAAAATACAAGATACAAAAAGAATAGTTATTATTATCCCTTTGCTCTGACGAAGGGCTAATGCTTGAATTGTCAGCTTTTTTACGCTTACGGTGGCCAATTTACGGCACTGCCCCTGAGATAAAAAAAAAGAAAGAAAAAAGAATTACAAAACATGGTAGACATTATTCATCATACAGAAAAAAAAAACCAATAATTGAGTGGGAAATGGGTCGTATTGCTTCAATGGCAGCTCTGAAGAAAAAAAGAAAAAGGTCTTGGGAGATATTGGTGAACAGAACGTGTAAGGAATATTTTCTTCTTGGAAGCTTTGGTAGGAAGACATATTGTTCACTATTATGTGACAGGTTACAAGGCAACCTTACTACCAAATTATCAACCTTTGCAGGAAAACTTTCTCCTTGCCATGGAAATTATAAATGATATGAATCATTTTCAATTATTGCACTTAAAAGTTCAAGTAGTAGCAGATAAGTAGTTTATATGAGCATTTATCATTATTATAAAGCATCTATTTATTATTATTAGATAAAGTTTTAATTGTATGTAAAATTAACCCTTTTATTTATTAGACAGCTCAGTTCCAAATAGCACAACAAAATTCTGCGTCAGATCCTTCCAATGAAAGTAAAGCTGATGAGACAACAGCAGTTAAGTTAAGGTAATGACACCTTGCTCTTTGGTATTAAAAAAAAAAATCCTGATTTTTTTCTTTGTCCCATGCTGGTGACAAGACAAAAACATCAATTTTTTTACCAAGCTCAAAACTTCCCATCTTTCTTATCCTATTTCCAAAAAAGTGTTGTTCATTGTGATTTTGTAAATAAATGAACATTTTATCGTTTATCTCACGATATAGAGTTAGTCTCTTCTATTATATCGATCACAATGTTTTGACTGCAGTGTATTTTCTAGTTTACCTCGTTTTTATTTTATAGCCTTCTTTAGACAGTTTCTTGAGTGTAAGAACTCACTGGGTCAGAACATCATAATGTAGCTCCCTTGTTTTAAGTTTATTGAGGAATGATGTTTTTTTTTCAGTCTACAGAAGCTTGTGGATCTCATTGTTGAACTCCTAGAAGAATTGAAATATGAAGCTGAAGACATTCTGCTAGAAGACACTTAACACCGTGCGAGCTATCCAACGATTTTTGTTCAGTCAGCTCAAAACAAAGGGATCCGCTGAGCGAAGCATTTTGGCAACCACGCTCAATAAACAGTGCATAATTGGGAAAAAATGTAAATTGACGAAATTTCAATCCATTTTTTCTCGAGTTGTGGGTTGTATAAATTATTTCATGAAATATTGACTCTCAGGCAGCCGATGGTCGGTAATCTGTCGGTAAGTTTTCGTACCTAAAAGAGGTTCGCAGAGCATCGTTGGGCGACTTGATATGCTTCATTGCTCGAGTGATCGCAGCAGAAATGATGGCCAAGTGGATATCAGCTGGCATAGGGCATTTGTTTCAGCGGCCAACGTCTTTTGAGGAAAAAAAAACACTGAGATCCGTTCCTGATGGAACTGAATTTATTTTAAACTGATTTATTCCCTTTTCGTTCGAACGAAAACACTTTGAGCTTAAGCCACGGTAATCTTTACACGGTGTACATAATTTATAGAGGTTATAAGTTTCAGTAGGGTCTACCTGGTACTGGTGCCACTAAAAACTGTTTTAAAAAAAGGCCTTTCATATATTCTTTCAATGACGTAGTTTTTAATTTCTTGCGTGCACGTTTAGTAAATTAGTCGACAGTTTTGCAGTTCTTTCACATCCGCAGGGTTTGGTTTTGCTTTGTTCGGGTTGGAAATCGTGTAAAATTTAGCCCTACTTCCTCATGTTCTTCTCTTGTAATCCATGTTAAACCTCTCTTTCCTTAGTTGTTTTCTGTTCTATTATTACCTTTTTGGGATCTTAAAATATTCCGGAATTTATGTTTTGTGGTTTTCTCCGAAATGAGGGTAGTTTTTCAAGTCTTTAAACTTTCTTGGAATATTTAAGCAATAGACAGCATTTCCTATCGGTTTACTGGTGTAACAACCCACACGGGATGTTGCGCGGGAGAACAGACGGGTGCCAAATTGATTTTAAAATATTATTTCCGTTTTACAAACTTTAATTTCTAATGGGTTTACCATTTAAACTGAAGGCTTTTGACTAATCAATTCTATACTGTGAGATATAGCCTATATATTCCCACAATTTTCAAATACTTCAGCGAATGAAAAAAAAAAACCTTCATTGAAGAAGAAAGGTTTTTCATCGCTAGCTTTCTATTTCTACCTTTCGCAACGGAACTCAAGGCACAAAATGATGTGATTTGGAGAGAAAATCTATTCATAAGCCATGATATCGATGTTAGCCCCAGCAGCACAAATGATTTACCCTCTCGAAACTTCTGATCCTTTTCATTTCCTTCAAATTTTTTCATCAGCGCAAACTCAACGGCTCGGCACGGTGAGGAAGGAGAGCACGAAAAAAGGGCATTCGTTGATTGACGTAAAATGATGAACCGGTTTCGCTCACAATTTTGGAGTCGCTATGTCTTGAGGCAATAAAATACACGTCATGTCGCATTTTTTTTCGAAGCAACATGGCACCGTTTGGTTGCGTGGGGAACGAGAATAAAAACAAATAAGCTTTTAAGTTGAGTGTTATTGGACCGGGGTAATTATCACAGCCAATTAAAGCCATGCAAATTTTATGAGAACCAATGAGAGCTCAAATTAAGTCATGGAAAGTGCGCGAGGCGCGGCGCATGGAAAGGCAAGTGACTAAGTCGTGTTTCAGGGCCTACTCTTGAAACTGATTTGTGAGGAAAATGTCACGAACTGTCTAGATCAATCATAGAGCGAAGACAATCCTTTGCAATCCTGGATTGCCTTAGCTTTGTGAGACTCCATGTCTGAGAAAAATTTGCAACGAAATTTATCAACTTTAGACGGCTGTCTAAGGATAAATTACTTCAACCGAAAAATGCCAAAATAATTAGAATTATGTCTTGACTTCAGACCTGAGAAGGAGGAAAAATGTGATGTGTTTCTGTAAAATATCCAAGAACTGTGACCAGACAACTTGCAAAAAAACGTGTCAGAGTGCGCGAGCCAGAAAGACCGCTGGTATATATTTTCAAAATAGATATCATTTTTTTTTTCCTCGGAAATTGCTCATTTGTTTATAAGTGATATTTTATATTGGCCATAGTGATTTTTTTGTATTGGCAGAAATTTTAGACCACTTAGCCTCGATAAATATTTCAATATCCGCTTTAAAAAAAATCGTTTTTTTTTTTTTGGTTTTTTGTTTTTTTGTTTTAGAAAAATGGCCTCTTTATGTAAAAATCATTAAATGAGCTTAGGGGTTACAAACGTTTATTTGGGTATCATCACGGATTCCGTTGCTCTTTCCATAGTCACGTGGACACTTACGTAGACCACCGGAGCAAAAAAAAAACAAAAGAGCCTGGACCCAACTGTAAATTCTGAGCCCACGCTCTTTCTTTCCCTAGGGAAACCGCAATTTTGCGATGAAGAAATATAATT